GACTGTACGCCGCCGTACTAGTGCATTTGCTGATGCCTCTTAGTAATGTCTACCTGCGATGAAATTTCTAAAGCCTCTTACTGTTGGATGTCCTTACATAAGCGTTTCCAGTTCGTCCTCTCCAAGATGTATATTATGAAAAAAGTCTCTTCTTTATCTCTTCGTAAAATCGAATAATTTTGATAGAGATAAGAGGAGATAGAAACGAGAACAGAACTGAATGAAACGTGAAAGCAAGCCGAAGTTTTCATCCATTCATGATCATACAATTTTATTCGTAAGCTATAAGGTTATAAATAGACTTATAAGTAGATATATAGTTATAGACTTCAAAAGTATTATAAGTTTTAATTAAGAATTTTGTGAAAACGTTTTTTTAGAATCTTATAACAGTTTAACTGAGACAGCATTTTTGTTAGATGGTGGTCAAACGAGCTGGCGGTTCACTGATGTTATGTTATTACCCTACCCATGGGCTAGATGTCCAACCCCTATGGCTGCAGATGCGTTGCAAACCTCGAAGAAAGTGGACCCCGAATTGCACCATTAACCAGACGAAACGTTAAAGTACCTATAATATTTCCATTTCACGCCCCCCAGTAAATTCCATATATGAACATCAACCTAGAGTCTAGGTCCTAGACTTTATATTTTTTAAACAAACGCAAACGTCCATTTAATATTTTATCGTGTTATCTCTTACAACTAATTGGACACCTGCTTTAACTTTTTATGCCTTAAATGATATAACAGAGCAAGTTTATGTTCCGTTCTACATTACTTTGTCCACCCACATCCAAAGACGTTTTTTTTTTGCTCAAGTTGCTAACAAAACATCGTTCGATCATGCTTAAGAATGGGTAATTCAATTTAATACGTTAATAATGTAGCGAGTACATAAAAAGTGTACTAACAAAAGTGCATTAACGATATTAATAGACGTGACAAGTTAATAGGCGCTATTTGCAGTTAAATATTCATTGTTTCGAACAATACTAAGATGAATATGTTTGTTGAAATGTATTTTTTGTGAGAATGTTATTTCTTTGAACAATAATTAATTGCTTAGAGCGATAGCTGCTTGATTATGTAGAAGGGTTTATGTTATTTTATAACATTTCACGGAACCTTAAATTTCAAATCGTTTAGCAACTTTAATCTTTATTGGTTAATGTAAACGGTTTCTACTACTAAATATTCGTCAATCGTATGGTCAATAAGCATAATATCCTATGGCTTCTTGATTCTTAAGACCCATTTACACGGTGCAAGTTTCTTGCCTGTTGTATACAATTAAATTGAAGCAATAAATGAGTTGCATGGTCTAAACAACAAATGGTCTAACAAATTATTGCGCGCAATTTATTGCATTCAATTATTGCTCTTGTATGTACAAGAAAATGGCATCGTGTAATGGGCCTTAAGAAAGACTTGTGCTCAATATTACGCCTTCATTTTATGTTCATATTATACACAAATATCCAATAAAAGCTTTGAATAGTTTGAATCGTCATCGTCCTGGCAACTTTTTTCAGTATTTTTTGTCTTTTCTGCTTACTAATATTAAGTAATAGATATTTCGTCAAGACACAAATAGATTATTCATATAAACGTCACGATTAATCCCTAAAATATTTTATCATGTTTTAATGACACATTTAATAAAAGATGGAGATTATCCAGTGTCTTTATATATTCAATTGAATGAACTCAAATAAATGAACTGCATTTGTATACATTAACAACTTTTTATATACCAGTACTTTGGCTGATTCAATGCGAAGACTATGCCTTCTGAAAATTTAGGAATGGAGGCCTGTTGGGCGTTTAGACGTAAGATGATGGAGGTAAGATTTCGCTGTTTCGCGAGTGAGGACGCTCGTCTGGGGAAATACCATAGCGTCACAGAAGACGAGCGTTAAGTAGAAATATGTATAATTGGGGTGGGCCCCCCACTGTTTCAAAGGTTGACAACGCACTTGCAATCCTTCGGGTGTTATTGACATCGATGGTCTGCCCATCGCTCTTGCTTATAAGCTTTTACAACGATAAAAGAAATACAGAGAGGCTACTCTGCGCCTGCGATCAAAACTGAGGATATTCTAAACGTCAGTGTCAGGAATAAGTCTCTATGCACGGCTCACCGACATGAAAGGAAAGCTGTTCCACCGGTGGTGATATACTCACCGGAACAGTCGGCGTGTACCACCACTGTTCGTTGCTAGGACTGCCAACTTCCGCTGAGTTAGCCTTGCTATGAACAGTCATTAATTGAATTAGTTAAGGAGATTGCGAACAGTATATCTCCAAAAGTAAAAACCTCTGGAAGAGTTCACTTGCTCCTTTTGACGGTGAAGACATCTATTTTAGACTCGCTGCAGTGTGGTCCAAATCCTTGCAGAGGCGAGAAAGTTTTCGTCAATTTTTCTACAGATTTTCGATCTCTGTCGGCTCCGAGACTTAGTTAATGGCTATGCGTTGCTAAGTATTCACGTATCGAAAATATATCGCAAGGACAATTAGACATTTAAAAAGCCTGAGATAGGGCCACGCAATAGTTTAACGAAGAGTAATGGCTCACCAACGAAGAAACACATTTGAGAAATACACAATATATTATATATCTATACAGATAATAAAAAATCAAAGAAGCGTATTATATTCGTGCAGCACGTTTTTATTTTCTTTCAAAATATTATATTAACAAGGCGCTAACAAGTAACTTTATTCAATTGTCAAGTGCGAAAATTGTTTTCACAGCGGAACGAGTTTTTTAAGCATCGGCTTCACGAAGTATTTGAGTTCGTTAACACTGGATTTTTTACAGAACTCGCTCACCGGATCGTTCTTATCCTCTACAGTGGTTTAATCTAATATATGCCGATTATAATGACGATGAAGTTTTCTACACATAACCAATTACAACATTAACCTTGGCCTGTATCAATGATTTATAAAGAATTTACGTAAATATGAGTAACATAATAGAATCTTATACTTAAATCGACACGAAAGGCAGAGGTTATTGGGCTTTTTTTCAAACTGTACTACGGTTATAGACTAAATTTATGTTCACACTTTTACAGCATGTTTACAATCTAGGTAATTGCTACTTTGCCACTGTACGATTTCAGAACGCACAACTCGACTCATGACATAATTAGCCCGAATAATAATGATCTAAGCAATGACTATGTACAATTACAATTGCTAAAGAGTTCCATTAGATATGTTTTTTGCTGACGACGCTAAGATTGTATCGTTTAAAAATCATAGTTCGGCAACGTTCTTTCGTTCAAAAATTTTAATAACGTCTTATCTTACCTTTACGATACTGAGGAAGTAAAATGCATTGACGTGTCTTATTTGTATAAAATAAATAGTAAAAATAAATTAATTATTTTATCTATATTCAGCTCTGTTATAGTATACGATGTATGATCTAGTTGATATCGGAGAATACAAACATTTTAAATAAAGAATTCATTTAAAATTATTTGAAAATATGCAGTCGTGGGTGAGGCACGACACAGATAGAGTTTTTATCGTCAAGTTAAAGGATATTCTTACCAGCCTTTGTTTAAAAAAATCCGATTTCTAACCTTGACATACATTTCTAACAAATCGTAATAAAATTATAATGTAGAATCATTACAATTCAATTTTAACATTTGTTGCAATAAGGGAAGCCGACGATTTTCTTATTTTACAACAAATTTAGAGAAGAAACGCGCTATAGCAAAGGTGAGTTAAATAAAAATAAAATTATTACACCCTTAGAACCTAAACGGGAGGGGGCAGTTCATTGACTTCAAGTCAAAAGCAGCTGCGATTAAGTTGAGGAGATCCTCAGCTAGTCGCACCTTAGCTATCTAGCTACACTACGTACGTATACATATATTTATGTATTTACACGCAGAGGTTGGCTTGAATTTTGTGTGCAGGAACAAAAACAAGCACAAGGTAAAAAAACCCTCTTTCATTGTGGAATAGAATAAAGGCAGCTAAAAACAAAAACAGGCACAAGGTAAAAAAAAAAACAACCCTCTTCCATCGTGGTATAGAATAAATATATCAAAATGCAATATGAAAATTGTCTAACGCCAAAACCATAGATGACTTATATAGGCCAAAACTGTATTTCGATGCATCGGAAATATTTTCATTAAAAAAGTTATACACGAAAAAATAAATCGATAACTACTAGGGCTTTAGGTTTGTGGAGTGCCTTGCCTGATATCTAAATGAGGCATGAATTTCCGTGTTAATTGACCAGACGGCAACGATGGGTTTGCCGACTGAACATAACGGAAATCACTTACGTACGATGTAAAGAAATAAAGTAGACGTGTGTTTTCTTTTTACAATGACGACCTATCAGAAATAGGTCAACATATGGTTAGTCTCACATTTGTAAATTATTTACAGAAATTTACGGCCTTTGCATCGATTTCTTATTAGAGTAGAATATAATGATATTTATTCTTATATTCTTAACAACAAATAAAGCACCGATTTACTTTATTACATTATAATTATTTGTTTTTAATACTTAAAAGTATCATTGTGTTTACTGTTGTGCTTTTATATTCTACATATTTTTTTTCCTTTTTACTATTGACGGATCAGAAAGTTATTAGAAATGTATTAAACAAATCTTATAAAAATCTAGTTTATAAAAAGGGGCGATTATCGAACCCTGATCTCTTATTATTATTGATAATTAAGATATGTAAGTAGAGGAATAGTAAGTAACGTGCGATTTTAAAAACATGAAAAACGACACCAAATTTAAAATTCAAAGTGATCCTTAAGAAAAGCATTTCTTACCAAGTTTTATAAATATTATAAATAAATAAAAATACGAATATTGAACTAACTTTCTAATTATCATGCCGTATATTTGTTAAATGTATTAAGTATTTCGTTTTTAAAATGCATCGATTAGTTTTCGTAAAGAGAAACAGAAAAGTATTTTTAATTTTATTATCTTCACTTACTTGTACAAAACTTTTAAAAACGTTCCAAATCCACGGCATGTAGCTACTTCGCCGGTGTATGTTACAGTCATTTTAATTTAATTTTTGTCTAAGTATACACACAGCTATAGAAAATACTATTATTTTTGTTCATAATGTATGATGGCTTTTCCTAAATTCGGCAGATAAAAACATTATCACTTCGGAAAAAGCACCCCTCACAGCATTTTTTAACTTTTACACAATATATATGATATATCTAAAGGCTAACTGTGTACAAAACAAAGATGCAATCGCACACTTTACTTCGTAAAAATCACAAAATTGCAACAGCTTTTTAAACCGAATTACCAACTAACAGACAAACAACAAAACGTTACACTATGACACTACCTAATATGTACTGAATTGGATTGAAGTTTATTACAATCACATAGCATATACATTGTCAAACCATCTGAACTGTCATCACTTAGCCATGTGAAGTGAGAAACGAGCGCAAAAATGCCACACCGTATTCTTAGTTTTTTCTTTTAAAGTAGCGCCATCTTGTTGATCTCTATATCATACCAATACAATTCATTCCTATGTTATAAAATAGATGGCAGTAAAAGCTTAATAATAATTACTGTTTTTTTATGAATAATTTTTCTCATTGATGTGTTTTTACATGTAAATACCCACCTATTAATTCTTTATTTCATTAAATTGAGTAATGATGGAAATATGTAAGTTTGTAATTGACTTTCAACAAATTTTAGATCTTCCCAAAAAGTTCTCAGTCCCACCCTTATTTATAAAAAAATTTCTACGTCTTAACAAAATTTTTAAACAGATACTACAGCCGCCAACATTGCTGAGTTTCTTTCGCCGGTTTGTCTCAGGTTGGTGGCTTTTCTTTAACGAATAATGTTTAATGCTTTTAGATTGAATAGAGATATTTGAATTTGAGCCGTTTGCTCAAAGACGCCTATTTATTTTCCGCCAAGAATATCGCCGATATCCAACCAAACATTTAATCTCACCGAAATATTAATAATACCTACTGTGATAATGAGCATGTTGTGTTATAATAGAAATTGATACGATGATGCTAAGATAACACAGTCAACACTGTCAGGATGTTATTGCTTTGATTATTTAAGGTTAAATAATCAAAGGGTTAAATATGTTTAAGCAACTTTGAACATATCGGTATTAGTAGATTAGGTCTGATTATGCTTGCCTTATTACTTCCGCTATGGCGTTAATTAATGTCGAACTGCGGAATAAACGTAAGTTTGATTACTTTTGCATTAAAAACAAAAAACAGCTTACGGGCTCTAAACATCATCTGTTCTCTCTTCTTTAGGTATTTTTTTTTAAGGGACTAATGGCCAGGTTTCAATATTCTATCTCTAAGTTTGGTTACTTTAGATAGAATTTATCGTCACACATGACGTAAATATAATGGAGCTAACATCAAATACCTATCGCTAGTAACCAAATCTACAGATAGATAGAGTATTGAAACCAGCTGTAAAGCGCCATTATAACGGCTCTGATAACTCAGTTTCCGGGCACTTGCTTATTCATTATACTCGAGCATCCCGAACTGTGGTAGCCACGCAACAGTCTTCTCTGTTGCAAGAATGGGCAGGTACGTCCGGGTAAGTACCTCACAGAAGACCGGCATGAAATCGAAGTGTCATGCTGTTGCTATGTACTTATGCGTTTCGTCTGGTGAGTGAAGTAGCAGGGGCCATTTTATTAAAAGGTGGCAACGCATCTACAACCCTACGGGTGTTGCAATTGTCAATGGGCGACGTTTATCACTTAACATCAGGTAAACCACCAGTTATTTGCCAGCTTCTCAAATAAGAAAATAATATTTCGTACAGCATTTACCAAGGGAGGAGTTAGTATATGTACTGCGTACAAAAATCTTCCGTTGTACTTGACAACGGAAGATTTTCTGTAGTTTTATTCAAACGTAAGAACCTCTCAATTCTATCATCGCACGCAGTGGTAAAAATAGTTACTATTGAGCGCATAGCTAAAAATTTTTCGCGCGCACGAAGACTTTATGCCATGAGTTGCCAGTAAAATGTACCAAACAATACGACTTAGGAGGCCATGGTATTTAGGAGCATGCCCATTCTTATTGTTAAAATCGTTACCTCATTTATCTAAATCTGTTCATTGTATTTTATTGTATTTTTGAAAAACATTGCCCTCACTTTAGAATAACATTATCCTGTGTTGTATGGACGTTTGTACAAACATAAATTTCACGTGGACAAACACCCAGATGCAAAACAACTATCTGTGGGTCGCACAAATAGTTGTAGTGGGAATCGAACCCACGACCCCCGACGCCGAAGCCAAAACCTTTGCAACTACGCCACGAAATCATCAAACGCCATTACTGCGTCTATTGCCAATTGTAAACGATGGTCTTACCTAAACTCGAGACTTTATATTTATACTAATCCGGACTGGTGTGCTAATTTTCTCAATATTGTAAACTAAACCGGCAAACGTTGTTTTGCCATATAAATTAATTGTAGGCTAGAAAAAAAATTAGGGGTGGACCACCCTTAACATTTAGGGGGATGAAAAATAAATGTTGTCCGAATTCTTCACCCTGGCTGATATGCACACAAAATTTCACGAAAACCGGTCGAGCCGTTTCGGAGGAGTTCAATTACAAACACCGTGACACGAGAATTTTATATATTAGATTATCTTACGGATTGAATTGTTTATAGGACTGAAGCACAGTGAATAAAGACTATTATACTGACTGTTATGAATCCTGACGGACTGAAGTTAAACTTTTTTTACGTGCACTAGTTGTGACAGTTAGTCACATCTAGTGCAGATAAAAAAGTAACCGAACTTTTTGATCCACTCTCTTATGTATATGGTATGGTACATATCCTTGGATGTTTCACAATACAATCAAGATATAAACGAGTTTTTCGTAGAAGAGTAACGGCATTTGTTTCTGTGGCTCGACCTGTAAATTATCACGGCCTCACAAAAACCGTATTATACATCTTATACATTTGCTTTTCTCCCGGTGAGTGAGATAGCCGGGAATCCTTCTTTTTAAAGGTTGGCACCGCGTCATCTTGTATTTCCATTTCTCTAAAACAAAATAAAATGTTTTATTGTCTACATATGTTTACGTTTTCTTAAGAGTAAAAAATTGTCTAATCTAAGGATTATGTCGCCGTTTGCTGTTAAATTCTATAAAAGGAGAGTTTTTTAATAATGAAAAGGATTGAATTAAACTGTAAAGTTGCAAATAGATTGCATATTAATGGCCAAAAATATCGCTATAAAATGTTACATATTATTACATTTGAATTTGATGTATGTATTAAAGTTCAAAGCATAATATCATTTTCAAAATTTACCTTTACAGATTTCGATTAGCTTTTAATATTAAACGGGAATAGAAATTTAACGACGTAAGATGTTATGGGTAACACTGAGACACCTTACTTAAGCCAGATGTAGGCATTCCTACTAACGCCAACATGTAATAGGGGGCAGCACTGAGAAATGAGGTTGAGGTAACAGTCTGTGTCGCAAGCAAACTAGTTACAGCAGTTTACCTCACATCACAGTACGCACAAAATTTTCTTCATTTAATCTTTTATATTGTTGTATTTTTCGGCCTAGATTGTTCATATAGTATAATATGCCTCAATGTTGTGCAGTACCGTTTTGTTCTGAAACTAAAGGTGGGCACAAATTTCCTATCGACGAGGAACGCCTAAAGAAATGGTTAAACGCGATAGGTAGAAAAGATTATGTCCCGTCAAAACATGCTCGTGTATGTAAGAAACATTTTAAGCCAGAAGATTATGGGTATCCAAAAGAACCAACAAAGCCGAATTGTAAGTAAATCACTTTTATAACGTCACGACATTCATTCGTTTATTATTTTTGTATTCATTTCAATCTTACTCTACTCATAATGTCATGTCAGTCAGCGTATCCGTATAAGTGCAAACGAAAGCGCAAGCTCCTACAGCTCAGCAACAGATAATAAACATTTTATTTTACAGTATGTAATACAGATGTCTTAAAACCTGTTGAATTAATAAATAATGTAATATTGAAACTCGGTTAAATTTTATCATTGAAGTGTTAATTAATATAAGCGTTTCATATAATATACAATTTAACAATATCTTACAAAATATTGCAAATGAATAAAACAAAATATTGTTCACAAAATTGTTTCGGACTCATGATTAGTGACTAGTTAATGAAAACAATGCATTGTACCTGGATAGATTTAATTCGTAAATTCCCTTAAAACAAATTAAAAAATAACATTATCCCAAAAATTTACTCAAAACGCAATGTAAGCACGATGTAATGAATGAGTGTGCGATAACTTTTGCTGTTGCACAGATGGACAGATTCGTCCGGAGAAGTACCACAGCCTCACATAAAATCGACGTAAAGTGGAAGTTATTATGCGTTTGCGTTTCTTCTGGTGAGTGGGGTAGCCGGGTCCCCCGTTTTTTAAAGGTTGTTAACGCATCTGCCAGCCCATCAGGTCCTGTAGATGTCCATGGCCGGCCTATCCACTTAACATCAGGTGGACCAACTGCTCCCTTGGCAACTTTTCACTTAGTATTACTTGGGAGAATGTCAATGTACACGTTGAGTACGAATGTTGAGAGGCATGTCGGAGTGTTGGACAAAGACTGCTTCGGAGGCGCGCCCTACAGATTGCCAAATTCTATGGCTATGCCCATTCCATTGCCATCAGCAAATCTTTCCTCCATTTGCTCAAAAACCTTTATCTACTGTATTGTTCTCACCCAGATCGATCTCTCCGTTCCGATGACAATTTAATCGTCAGAAATCCTCCCCATAGTACATCTTTCTACCCCAAGTCCTTTTCTGTGGAAGCTGTACGGCTTTGGAACTCTCTCCCAATATATATTAGGCAGGCACAATCGCTACCTGTTTTCAAGCGACTTTAAAGAAAACACTTTATGCCTCCATAATTATTGTTTTCCATTCCTCGATGTTGTCAACTTATATCTGAATATTTATATGTTACTAGCTGACTCGGCAAACGTTGTTTTACCATATAAATTATTTCTAGGGAATTTGTCAATCTGAACACATAGAAAGAGAATTTTCGGAACTTACGCATAAAGTGTTTGACAGGTCACACAGACATAGTTGACAGGTTGACAGGTATAGTTTGTATGGGAAAATAAAATTGTTGCTATTTCGATTTTCCATGCAATTTTCCAATAATTTCTCATCGTTTAAACCTTCCCTAGACTGCCACAAATATTTTAAAACAAAAATTAGTCAAATCGGTCCAGCCGTTTCGAGTTTTAGCGAGACTAACGAACAGCAATTCATTTTTATATATATAGATTATTAACGTATATATTTATATATGGTGTTTGCATTTGCATTTATATAAAATTTATTAATATGTATTTATATTTTGACTTATTAGTTTCTGTTATCAAGTCAGTGTAGACCGTTACCTGATACAACTGTTTTTATTATCTCCTTTTACTAGGTTGCCTGGAAGAAATCGCTTTTTAGTGATAAGGCCGCCTATTGTACAGTTTTGTATTATTTTTGGTTGATTATTTAATATACGTTGTTAGTGTACAATAAAGTATATTTCATTCATTCATTCATTCATTGTATGATACATTCAATCTTTTTTAACTTCACTACCTAGTATAAAACAAAGTTGTCTCGCTGTCTGTCTGTCCTTATGTATGCTTATATCTTGAAAACTACGCAACGGATCTTGATGCAGTTTTTTTTACTAGATTCAAGAGGAAGGTTTATATGTATAATGAATTGCACCCGTACGAAGTCGGAGCGCGTCGTTAGTTATATATATAATTCTTCAGTACGGGTGTATGTCACTGAACTCCTCCTAAACGGCTGGACTGATTTTAATGTAATTTTTTGTGTGTCATCAGGTCGATTTGAGAAAGGTTTAGATTCACGATTCGATCCCTTTTTATTTTACAATTTTTTTATATTTCTAAGTTGTCGCATTTAAGTTTTGTGTACAGAATAACAGTTGTCCGGTCCGCTAGTATGATATAAATTATATTCACATGTACTTCTTTCTACTTTTACAGCTATAGTTTTCCTTAAGAAAACTGCAGTTCCTAGTAGATTTATTTGGACAGATTGGAACGACCATCCGACTGAGTTACGTTTCATACAAACGATTAATAATAAAATTAAGGTGGGAAGAAAAGATTACGATATTCATATTAAAGGAGAAGAATTAATTAATTGCTCTAGCAATAAAATAAATGGTAAGTTTTTTATAACATTAACATTAAAAAAGTGAATAAATTTTTTAGGTAACGCCCCCAGTTGGTGAATTAATCATTTGATTAATTCTTGTAAAAAATTTAACTATTTTACAGAATATACCGCGTTTGAAAGTGAAACTTTTTTTCTATCGCTTCAAATTTTTCGGCCATGTATCGCATGTCGCATTACAGCCGGCCACGGAGTAGGGGTAAAGTTTAAGGCCCTCGGCGGAGCAGCCAAGGCCAAAATAGCGGTGCCCATGGCTCGCATCAGCTAACCGTTTTGTTTTGTGGCATTTATATTCTCACCCGTTCGTGCAAGTGCTCCACGTTATTCGTGTTTTTTGATCAGTGTATTGATTTAAATGTTGTTGGTCAATTGATCGTGATGGACAACGATACAACTAGTGAGTCAAATAAAGCGGGTCATCGATGGAAAACACAAGAATAGTGAAAAAATTTCCGACAATGAATTAGCATTTTGTTGTTTATGACGAAGTAATTCAATTTATATCCAGTCCATTCAATATATTTAGGCCTCGTCATCTTCACAAGCCTTAAATATGACTAAGCTGTGTGCATCTGGAAATAAATAGTAGACAGATAACAGATACCATGCCGAGTACTAGTAGGAATCCAGCGTCGAGTCCTGTATATTATATATATATTATTTTACGGTGGTAAGGCTACGCAGCAGCCTCGGCTGTTACACGAATGGGCAGGCCCGTTCGGGTAAGTACCACGACCTCACAGAAGACGTGATACTTACCCGAACGAAAGAAGAAAGTGGAAGTAGGACAAATACTTTCGCGTTTCGTCTGGTGAGTGAGGTAGCCGGAGGCCAATTTTCAAAAGGTTGTAAACGCATCTATAACCCTCAGGTGTAGCAGATGTCCATGGGCGGTGGTATTCACTTACCATCAGGTGAACCGTCTGCTCGTTTGGCAACTTTTCACATAAAAAAAAATCGTTCAAAGTGCAAGCCCGTATCCGAAAATATTGTTGCAGAAGAAAATCTGCATCAAAAGCAACTAAATGCTTTAAGATACCGCAGGTATCGTTTAAAACGCAAGCGGCTAAAATCAGGTGTCAAATCAATTGCAACAAGAAAACTGCGACATTCTGATCAATGAGAAGTTACTCCTCGCCACTTGCTCTTCTTAGCCATGAAAGTTATCCGTATTTGAGTGAGAAAAGGGCCAAAATATAACGAAAGAGCAAATACTAACTTCTGAATATGTTAATGTCAGTAACAGCCTGCTGGCACCCTCAAAGGTATTACGAAAACCATTCCAGCGCTTCATTGGAGACCATTAATTAGGAGGACTGCTAATAGGATGTTTTGACTGACGGCATTAAAGACGTTCGAATAATCAATAAAAACTATGACAGTGGTATTTTCCATACTTGCCAAAATAGGTGGTGATACTGCGGCTAGATCTAAATCCGGATTTTAAGAGACTTATCAATTTGTTACTAAGAACAAAGAAAGAAAATTGTTTAAGAACGCGTCCTGCGTTCTCAAGCACCTTACCTTTAGTGTCATCTGGAAGTTTTCTTTTTTTGTCTCAGTCAGTTACACACTGTCTTTATTCGCGCTCGGCCAGCGCCTCGCGTAATATATAATTATGTACCCTCATATACATAACACATATTTAAGGATAGTACGAAAATTCATTACTTTACTTAAATGACCAATATTATACCTTTCATTGCCAAAACAACATTAAAAGAAATTTTTTGTGGTTGTAATCACGTTGTAATTTATAAGATTCTATCCACCAACAGAAAGCTGTATTACCACTTGACTAATCATTTGTTTATTATTACCATAGATTATACATAGATTAGTTGTCAAGCTGTCATCGATGAACAATTAACGATGATTTACCGTGAATGGTACTGTTTTTTTTCGATACTCCGCTTTCATTATATTTACTTTCATTACATTATGTTATACATAGATAATATATGTAACTGAAATCAGTATACATGTCTTATCTATGTACAACGTGATAATGTTAATAGCTGTACGGGTAAAATTTGTGTATAAAGTGTTTTAAATATGAATAAACAAAGTGCATTTATTAATGAAGAAAGTGATGAAAAAATAGTGAAAGAAAATGAGTGAGTACTCTATATACATATATTTTATTATTATCACAAATGCAGTATTTTTTGATCTTAAAAGTAGCCAGAGGACTACTTTGAAGATCGCTCTTCGCGATTATATACACTCAAACACACACACACACACTCAATTTAAATTCAAAATTTCATTCAATTTAAAGTCGCGCCAGGTTGAGGAACAACTCCAGCTGGCGCTTCAGGAGTTAAAGGCAAGCAAAACTCTATATGAACAGTTAGAGGAGAGGGATAACAATAAACAAGAAACATTGCAGATTATTAATAAAAATTAAGAATTTAAAAACAAACTTTTAAAATTGCATTGTCAATATTTAAACTTAAACTTAATGATTAAGAATTGAATGATTATCTGCAAAAAATAGTCATTTGGATTGACCAGTGCAGGGTTGAGTATGAGGAAGCCCTCGGTCTCACTGCTGTGCTAAATGAGGCCATAAACCATTAAATTACTTGAAATGGATAATTTAAATTTAAAGGCCGCTCAAGCCCCGTGTCTATACACTGAACTGTTTGAGAAAACACCTGAATTGACATCATTAGTCATTGCCTTTAAAAATGACATTTTTACTATTGATCTGACTGTTGATGACTCTGGACCATCTTACACAGTTCTTAGTAAAAATAAATTTAAGAAATATGTCAAAATTAATCAAATTATCAGAAAGACACAGAGTTTACTAAGATATAGGCATAATATTATCAAAAAGTTAAAAAATTTGTAAAGAAAGAAATTCAATTAAATCAAAAATGCATTTTTGCTACAACAAGGCTAAAAAAGTTCAATTATCCTATGAGGCTGATGTGAATTCTCTCCAGGCAGAGATATCTTAGAGAGTTCTATGTATTCATTAACAAAAAAGTATGAAATATCACAAAAAGAAATTGCTGGACACATCTCAGCTATGAACAACCTGATTGATATATTTAAGTTCAACTCAGACCGTTTTAAATCACCCACAAAAAACTGTGTTTGTGAATGTCAGAGCTCCCATGGTCTTTCTGGGCTGAATGTTGATGTAGTGTCTCCTTCTGCTGAGATTCATAACAGCATCAGACATGAAGAGACAATGCAATATATTCCCATTCATAATATTATTAATGTTTCCAGTGATAAATTAGGAAGGAATATGGGGCCGTTGCTTCACAATATATCAATGGGACAATCTGTAACTAATTTTTGTTTAGCCGGAGCTACTTATTCTCAAATAATGAGAACTATTTTAACAAGTACACATTGTCCCAAAACTACTTTGTGTTAATTGGGAGAAGGGGAAATGTTAATAAAAAACATTTGCATAATTATCACATTAAGCAATTTAAATGTGAAAAAAATTATAATGTTCACATTCCCTTACATTAAAGGGTTGCCACAGGAAAATAACTATAGACATAGCCTTCACACTAGCTTATATATATGTTATCAAATAAAACATGTAAATTATTTTTTATTACATAATAAATTATAAAATATGTAATTTGACATATGATAGGTTCAACCTATCCCATTTTTATACAAAACAGATAGCTGATATGCTATCATATTGTATTTTTTTAAACCCAGCCAATTGTTTGGGTAACCAGACTGCTGTTTCTATTGAACAGTAACAAAATTTGACTTATTCCAAGTAATTTAAATTAAGTAACAAGACAACACAGGCAATCTCTGGCACATTGATTAAAAACGTGAACTATTGTTATAATTTAATAAATTTTCAAAGAAAAATAGCTGGAAATATTAACTATAATAATAACAAAAAATGTATAACCCTGGTGCATCAAAACATTTTGAACCTAATAAGAAGTCAATTGTTAATATGTTAAGTTCAGACCATTCTGGACAACTTGCCACTTTTAAATCTTATGTAAGTAGTAGTAATGATAATATGCAATAAACTATGTTTGTTCTTGTAAACAGAATTTGTATTGAGAAGTTTAGAAGTAATATAACAAAAAAACTTACTTAAATTATAATGACAGCCCAGAAGTGCTTTGTAATGTATTATGTAAATTAATTAAAACAGAATTTACTTCTAAGACAGTCAAGCCTAAAAGCTCTTTAGCTTTCAATGAATGGGTAACTGTCGGTATTCATAGGAGCTGGCGAAGATTATATGCACTTTATAGTGAAAAAACATATAACCATAATAAATCATTCATCAATCAATATTTAAAAAAGTCCTTCAGATGGCTAAATCCTTATATATTAGGAATAGGATAAAAACTGCATCTGATAAAGTCAAAATGATCTGGATGATAATTAATAGCGAATCTGGAAGAGTTACGAAGCACATCGCTGATTTAATTTTGACTAATGGTAATACTACTATTCAATCTCCTCAAGAGGTTGCAACATTTTTCGAGAAATTTTTCGCTGACATTCCAGTTTCAACAACCAAGTCACTTCTCTCTTCCCCGACAGTTGCCGAGTCATTATTAAAGAAAAATGTTATAGAATGTAAAGAAAACTTTAAATTTACCACTATAAATAAGAAAGATATTCTCAAAACTTTTAAATCTCTTGATGTTAAAAGAACTGCCGATCTATGGGGGATCTCCGTCAAGGTGATTAGTTCTATTATTGATGTGATCTCATTGTACCTAGCAACTATTTTTAATATTTGTATTGAACGTGGCTAGTTTCCTGACCTTATGAAGCATAGAAAAATTTTCACAAATATACCTTTTGAAACTTCTAGGCATTTGCAACACTGTCCCACAGAGGCAGCAACATAATCTGGATAAATATGTTAATATTTCCATTCCAGATTTAAAGTTTTGCAACATAGTCAATGTTATTATTAAGACTTTTAAAAATTTAATTTAAAAAAAAACTGAAGACCTATGGGGCTTATAAATATGGGCAATTGGATCTTATAATCTGTTATATTGCTTGTTCATTAGCCCAAATATTTAGTTCATGTCATTTGTGTTAGATTCTTGCAAATTTTCAAAATTTATGAAATATAGCAAAGTTGTGCCAGTTTATAAATCAGGCTCAAGAGAAAATGCCTCTAAACCTTCCCATTTCTATCTTACCAGCCTTAAGTAAAATATTTGAGATGCTGTATCAGATGCTATTATAATAAATATGAAATTGATCATTTTAATAAATATGAAATTTTGAACCAGCATCAGTTCGGATTCACGAAAGGTAGATCTACAACTGATGCTTGAGTATAATTAATTTCGCATATTCTGCAGTCTTGGGAAACGTTCTATGACACCATTGGTGTGTTCTGTGACCTCTCCAAGGCATTTGACTGTGTAGGTCATTAGATTCTTACTAAGAAATTGGAATATTGTGGTATTCGAAAATCTACCATTGATTTTGTTTCCTCATATCTTAGCGATAGGAACAAAAACTAACTATAAATGGTATACTGTCATCGGGGTCAATAGTACAAATGGGTGTTCCTGAGGGATCGATCCTGGGCCCATTTCTGTTTTTAGTCTACATAAATGATTTACCATATGTGGTAGAAAAAAGGTCTCAAATCGCTTTGTTTGCGGATGACACTTCACTGTTGTTTAAGGTTAATAGGAAAGATGTTACATTAGAGCAACCGAATGAAATAAGTGTCGTGTCGGGCTGGTTTGGGACCAATAATTTGCTTTTGAACGCCACTAAGACTAAATGTATCAGATTTACTTTTTCAAAGCTGTCTCACAAACCAGGAATCTTTATTAATGACAACATCCTACCTCTTGAGTATTCAACAGTATTCCTTGGATTGCATAGCATTACTTGGCATTGACTCCAAGTTGCAATGGGGAGCTCATATAGATAAATTAGCTAAGAAGTTGAGCGCTGCCGTCTCAAGATCAGGCAAGTAACAAACTAGGCAACAGTTAAATTACTTTATTATAGTTATTTTCACAGTATTATGTCTTATGGTGTCTTACTTTGGGGTTCCGCATCCGGTTTAGACACGATATTTGTATTGCAAAAGCAAGCGATACGGGCTGTCTATGACCTGGGTCCACGTGAGTCCCTTCGGCATATTTTTAAACATATAAATATCTTAACGCTCCCTTCGCTATACATACTTGGGAACATCATGTATGTACGAAAAAAAACATACAAAATATGTTTTTTTGTTCGTAAAAAGGTCAGCGTCGGAGCCGTGGTGACACGTTGAAAATACCGAGGCTTAGACTAGCTAAAACCAGGAAATCGTTTCTTGGTAGATGTATTAACTTATATGATAGAATAGGTGACATCCACAAACAATTAAGTGTAAATAATTTCAAACATTTTGTAAAAGCCATCTTAATGGAAAGGGCCTATTATAATGTCGAGGAATACATTGATGTGTAGAAATGACTCTTCCTCTGCACTTGCAAGTCCCCTGGCTCCTGCTAAATTATACTAAAGTAATTTAATGTAGGTTCATTTTAAAATAATTAAAAAATATATATACAGGGAGACTTTTCTAAGTGTATCCATTTTTTTTATTAATTTCTAGTCATAAATAATGTTATATAAAAAATGATAAATAATTAAAATCACACGCAATTAATTAAACATTCATTTGAACTTATCTCATTCAAAAATTGCCATTCTATTCCCTAAAAAAGGGAATAGAATGGCACTTTTTTTTTGGAAAAAGTTTGTTTTTATTTCAATAAACGATTATACTACCGAGTCTGAAACTCTTGTGTAAATGTGAGCACCTTTAAAAAAACCACCCTGAATATATGACCGCAGAGTTTCTTGCCGGTTCTTCTCTTGCAGGTCTAGTTTAGTGAACCGGTGGTAGTTCTTGACGTTCTATAAGAGCTTAAAATAAGCCTATGTTGAATAAAGAAAAAAAATCATTCCCGTGTTTAAGTCTGGTAGTACTTCGGACCCCAATAACTTTAGACCTATCTATGTACAGCCAACACTTAGTATAATTTTCGAAAAATTTTTATTGAATCAAATTTTAATGCATTTTAGTTCATACATAGTTTCATATATGGGCATAACAAGCAATATG